GTAGTTCCTCATTAAATGTGCAACAGATTTGTATCTCATCTCTCTCGCTCTGAATATAGCCATTCCAGTAAACCATCTTTTGCTTCTTCAGACATAACGAGCTTCAGGCAAGCTCGGGCAATCCATTTTCCGAGTGTCGTGCGGAGGTATGGGAGTTCGGGCGTGTTGCGTTACTTGCATTTTGTGTTTGTACGAGCACGTTTGGAAAGCAAATTTGATTCCATTCTTCTTGTGTATTGCTGACAAGACATTGCATTTAATGATGTTCACCCAGACTATTTACCGTGACAAATAAATCATCTCGAGACATATAGCCTGCGCACCAAAAACGACAAACCACCGGAGAACGACCGAAAAACACAAGAAATACCCAAATAAAACAAAACACTAAATAAACTATAAAATAAACTAAAACTCGACTAAACGATCCAAAAAGAGGGGGAAAAGAAAGGCAAAACAAACACGAAAAATGCAACAAAAATGGGACAAACAACTCCCCCACACTAAAACCTTTGTTCGTCCCGAACAAAAAGAAAAGAAAAGACACGAAAGCAAACAAACAAGCATGGATAACAGTTTCAGATAAGACAAGTCTCAAATTTTATCAACTCAGCCGAGGAGACTTCCAATGACCAATCATGCATATCTCAATTACACTTGAATGCAACATTTTGAAAAGACAACTCTCGAGAACGAAAATATAATATATAAATGCCTCACTCAATTTATTTCATGAATATAAAACTGGGGCGCTCAAATTGGTCAATCATCATGCATCAGCATAAGCTTGCTCATTGTCTGTTCATACTCTAAAACAATCAAAATATTGAATTGTAAATCAAAAGGACTTTCGGGTTGCAGTGTAGGCATCAGGGAAGGAAAAATATAAGGACAGAATGGCTCAAATAAACAATCACATCCTCGAGCATATAAACTACTCGAATATCCCACCACCAATCCAAAATCAGCACAACATCAATCATTCCCATCAAAACTCCATGCAACATTCACATATGCTGAAGCTAAATTACATCTCAAGTACTCGATCTTTTTTATTTAGGGAGTTTGCTTCTTCCCAACAAGACTAAGACATCAGGACGACATTCTCTAGGTTTAAACATTAGAGGTCATCTAAGTTTCCTTGAATGGTTTCCCAATACTCATTACTCGTCAAAGAATTTCAAAAAGTAAGCGGAGTAGAATCCTTTAGTCCGTCTTGTGAGTCCCTTTTATTCTTTTTTATATTATATTTTTATCTTTTTTTTTTCTTCTTCTTCTTTTTTTTTAAGTACTCGAAATGCAACTCCACAAGTTATACCTTTTCTCCAACAAATAATAGAAGTTCTGTCATAAAAATAATTAAACTGTCAAATCCCAAGAAATTCAATCAAAACGGTTGACAAGAAATACGGTTCAGGCTCGACGGGCTACTAATGAATATTTCACATCAAGGGTCAAAGAAAAAGGTAAAAAAAAACGAGCAATGTCAAAGAAATGCCTCAATCATTTTCACAATCCACTACTTCAATCACTTCATTTCAAAACAGACTAAAAGCAAGTTCTGATCAACAAGAATTCGACCAATATCTCTCAAAGAAAATGATATAAGGCTCAAACCTCACAAGGCAAATAATGTCCAACAA